TTTTATTGCATTTTTGATTGGAAATTTTTTTCTCAAAAAATGGCGGTGTAGCACAAAAAGTTCAGCGACTAAGTGACGCTGAAAAATTAAAAAGATCTACTGTAAAAAACTCTGCTTATACTGTAAGATTGAAAGGTAAAAGTAATTATAATAAATGATTTGAGCAAGAAAATAACAATTATTACATGCTGACTATGGCTAAAAATGAAGTTTTGAACCCCAAAAAATAAATAATAAAAATAAACAAAAACGTGGATTTATAAAAAATTCCTTTTATTATTTTTAAATTTAATATTTTACAGTTTTGGAAAAATGAAGTTACTAGAATTAGTGATGGGCAAAATTGCATAATTCATAATGCGCATACAGAGTTTTTTAAAGTGCATACAACCAACGAATAATATAATGAACAATATTGCACCAAACTTGTGACTACTAAATGTCTTTAACCAATCAGAATTTATTCATTTGATTTATTAAATACATTTTTCAGAGTGAAAAATTTTCCCTTCTGGGAAAGTTTTATAAAATAAATTTTTTTTGGAGTTGCTTGTCCACATAATTCCCTGCAACGCAAAAGACATAGTAAAAACATAGCTTTTATATGAATACAAAGAGAAAATGAAGACATATTTTATTGTACTTATTTTAAAAATAGGAATGTGTTGAAATTATACATGCTGCCCAAATCCCAAATGTACAAAGTAAATTTGGGTCAGCCTGTCAATGAATTCCCAAATCCCAAACTACTTTGTACATCAATACATCAGGAAATTTTCCCCATTGTAATAAAAAATTATGTAATATTTACACTCAATGTAATAATTGCATAATTTTTGTATGATTTTTGCATAATATTATGGGGCCTGCCATAAACCTATGTAAATAAATTTCCTTGATTTTTAATTTGGGCAGCACCTATAATTGAAATCAATTGGATTCAAGAGCTTCTAGATGAAATTCTGGATAGAAAAAATATTGTTAATCAGAAAGGACAATTTTTGTGAATGAACAGGAAAGGTATTTGACTTTATTGCCAGGCCATCAATCAGTTCCAACTGATCTTGATTGCAAAGGAAAGGTTTGGGTACCATTAATACCTGGATATACAGTTTTTACTTCTCTGTCAGGTATTTTTTTACAATTTAATACAGAATCAAAAGATAAAACATTATTATGACAATTAACAGAAATATTCTGTGAATTATGTAATTTTTTTTTCAGAATATAGCACAGATCACACTTTCTCTCATTTGAATTCTAGTAAATTATTTGATAAATTTAATGATATTAAACAATATATTTTAGATGCTAGCCATATAAATTATAAAGGAAACATTCATATAGCATGGCTACTAGGATTAACTTGTACTGATAATTTCTAATGGCTTAATTCGTGCTCCGTGAGACAACTGCAAAATTTTGCCGATTGTTAGTATAATTTTGTGGCGATAATAAACAATATAATTTTTAGAATTTTTGGAATATGACCGTCCCTCACGTGATTAAGCATGATTACGCGCGACATAAAAATTTAAAATTTATTTATATTTCTTTTTTTTTGAATAAAACTAATTACAAACGCTTATTTATATTTTTTTCTTGAATAAATAATTAAATATTATACTTGAATCTTAAGTTTTATATAGCAATTTTAGGCAAGAATCCAGCGGTCCCTCCATATAAAGATAAAATATTTTATAAGAAAGTCCATTTGAAAATTTGTATATTAAAACTTTGGGTTTCTTACTATTTATTACATTTGCAAATACAATTTATAAATTCGTATAAATAGTAGTTTTTTAGGAATGAAGTATGGGTTCCGGAAAATTTCAATTAGTGATCTGCGAAAATTTGCGCCAAATTCTATTATGAAATTATTGCAGTTGTTTCACGTATCACGAATTAAAGGTTTAATAATAATAATTAAGATAGATGTGTAGTCATTACAAACACATCATAATTTTCAAGATATTTCTTCCATTCTTTCTCACTCAAAAGGTCTATACTATTTCTCCATACAATAACAATTTGAGGTAACATTAATAACTATAATTAAAATTTAAATTCCTGTTTGAAACTGCCTTTTTTTCCACAAATATATGTAACCTGGTTGAGTCAAGTGATCAATCTATTTCTATCACATGTATAAAATCAATTAACCTCCTAAGAGAAGAAAAAAAACAGTAAACAGTTTATTCAGAGTTACAAAACAAAGTCAAAGAAAGAAGCCTGAAATAACTAAAAAGAAATCAACATTTTAGAAAAGAAAAAGCCCAAATATCAGCCAGCTGAAGAAAAACAAATTGAATTAACCCAGATAAAAGCAGAACAACTAAGTCAAGGCCAAATTGAAAATAAAATTTTAAGCTTGGCATATGGAGGATATTGATTAATTAAAAGAACTGTTGGTGTTAGTATAATCATGATGATGAACTCCTGGTGGCAAAGGAACATGGAAAATAAAGAGATAGTAATTGAGTATTTGGAGCAGAAACTTGGCAGAACTTTTCACAAAAAACACCACTTAAAAAAGAGATGATTTTACTAATCTATATTGGGAGAGAATGTGATGAACACAAATCTCGATTTTCTCACTTTTGGTGGTTGCCAAAAAATTTTTGGTAGTACAAATGTTTACATTTTTGCGCCACACGGCCAAATTTTAAAATTTATTTTTTTTTTTGAAAATGAGAGAAGAAACCAAGGTTTTATTTTGCATACATTTTATGAATGTTCGGAAAGAAAGAAGATGTAATAAATCCATTAAATTTTCTTTTTTTTTTTAATAGGAGAAAATTGTCAAAATACTTGATATTACAAAAACTATTTTTCATTGGAGCTTTATTCCATTCATACTTTATCTTGGTAAATTAATCATTATTCTATATTAATATTATAATTAGTTTAATAATTAATCTAATAATTTAATAAAAATTAGGATTTACAAGAAGTAATCCAAGACCTTCTTTAATCAGGTAAATTGAATTTTTTTTTTTCATTAAAATAAATCAAAATAAAATTTTTTATTTAATAAAATGGAAATTTTATTATTTTTTTTTAGAATGATTAGTCCTTTGGCATAATATTATTACAAAATAATAAATAATACCTTACAATTGCCATCATGTAACTAAACAATAACAACAATGATCTAAAAGATTCAATTTTCAATTGTATGAAAAACAAATATTAATAAATAAATAAATGAAATAGCAAAACCACTTACTTTCATATTAAATAGATATTAAAATATCAAAATCATTTACAAGTTTTTTTTTTAACAATGGTGATGGTAACATCTTTGTTTCTTTGTTTGTTGGTTATTTAGATATTAAACGCAAATAATGTATTTTTTACATGATTTAATCATAAATAAAAGAAATAAATTAGCTATAAATACAGGATAGAAAATTATAACCATTCACTTAATCTGTAATGAACAAATATAGGTGATAACCGCATCATTTTTATTATTAAACATTAGTGTTAATATTGTATTTGGAATTATAGTATTATTTTAATTAATATTATTGTGAAGGTGAGTGTTTAATTGATTCATGTTCTTCTTTCCTATGGTCTACTTCTTGTTGTAGAGCCACTCCAATCAGCAGATCTATACTAATAATTTTCATCACCATTCCACTAACCCAAACTTATATGCCCCTACTAATCTTCATATTTTGCAAGAAAGCCTCTTCACCAAAATAACAATATGAAATAAGTAGGAGACTACTGAGAGAACGGGAATTTAGAAAGCTGTGTATAAAAGCCAAACTGATAAATTATTGTTTATCATGTGTTTCAACAATTGCAGATTCAAGCTATCTAAAAAGAAGAGCAGATTAGAAAAGATAAAGGTAAAAAATGGAAGGTTTGCCAATAATTATTTTATTAAGCTCATAAGCTACATTCATATCTCAATTGTGGCATGCTGTAACAAAATCAGACAAAGCAAACATTCATACTATTAAGAATTTCAGGTATTAAAAATCATCATTCTCATGATATAACAATTTTACTATATACAGTGTGTTGTGAAAAAAATGGCGGTGATGAAAAATAGCATATCTTGACAAATTACAAAAGATAAATAATAAAAATTTGATATGAGTTACTATTGCCAATTTTTTGTAAATCTTTTTTTTTAGATTTCACTAAATTTTTTGACTTCTACCAAAAATTATTAGACACCCCAAAAGTATAATTAATCAGACCAATTTGCAACTTAAGCTCTATTCATATAAAATCTCATGCTTCTAGAACTTTATCAATTAAAAATGGGGCATGCTGCAACAGAACCAGTCAAAGTGAACATTGCATTACCAAGGATTTCAGGGATCAAAATTTAGTCATCTCAATTATAATATAAATTTTATATTTCATAAATAAAGTTAATATGTAAATATATAATTTTTTATTCAATTATTGTGTATGAGATAAACTTAGTTATTTGTTACATATGGTAATTTTCTTATGGACAATGGATTATACATTTTGCGCATTTCATTTCCCTATATATAAAATCAACGATTAATATTTTATCTTAATAATTGTATTTTATACTATTTATACCTCATGTTCTTCAGGTAATGATGGTGATGATTCCTATAAATATAAGTAAAAAAATTAAATGTCTACCATTATTAGTATTAATGTTTCAATTATACTTGCATTATTTTTGTGACATTTTTTTGGTAATGGATCAATATCATAGTTTATGGACTTTTTTTTTTCGGAGATTATATTTATGATATGTTGTTGGAAGGAGTTGTCAGTTGTTACAGCGGTTGTTACAGTGGTAATGATGGGAGTGGAAGATGAGGTATTTATCTGTATGTAATAGTTTTAAATAATCTAAAAATAGTTACCTGATTGGTATTAAAAATATAAATTTGATACAGTCAATTTGCCAAATAGATATCAACAATTTAATAGCAAATAACAGAGTTTTATTTTATCTATTTTTTTTCATCCATTATACATAATTAAATTAAGTTCCACTAAAAAAAGAATAATTCTAATTAGTTTTTTATTGTCAAAGAAATTAACCAAGTTGCTACTAAAAAAAACAGAATAATTTCTTTAATTAGAAAAAAAATCAACCAAGTTTCCACTAAAAAAGTTGGATATAAGTGAGGTAAAGTTTATATCAAAAACAATACAGGGAAATCAGTCACAGCTCCATCAGTGGGATTTAATCAAGGATGGGATGTAAATAATGGGGGATATAAATATTATTAATCCATCCCATGAATTTTTCCTAACAGATAGGCAAAACTCCTCATCACCAGTGTCTAAAATTTGTGCAGAATGCTTGTTCTGAGCATAATAATTTATTTGCACATGGTATAATTTTAAAGTAGGTAATGATTTTAATCCTTCCAAAATTATAAATCCTATATTTTTGGCTGAATTATTCGCAGGTTCTGCTAAGCATAATAATCGCATCGTCCCGTGATTTGTTTTCTGATTTTCTAAATTTGTATACGCCCAATTCATATCCTTTTTTTGGAGGATGTCAACCATCCCTCATTACATAGATAGTATCATGTGATGCGAGCAGTAGATTTACATGCGCAAAAAATCTTTTGGTGTATCCTATACCCCTGACGTGATTTATGTAGCATTTCCGATACTGTGATAAAACTAGTGTACATAACGAACGATGTAAATTGTATTGGCCTTCAAGGGAAGCGGAGCTAATAATGTAACAAAGCATGTTCTGCCTGCTAAACCGTTTAAAATTCCTTAGCCGGCAAATACAGTTAGACCTTCATAAATATTTCAGTAAACAAGTAGCAGTTCCGTTTAGCAATAATTTTTTATTATATGTATTGAAGTCTTCGATTAGAAAGACAAACATAGGCGGTTGAGAAGTTACGTGATGATTATATTATTTTGTAGCTTGTGATAATCTATTATATATGTGTAATAAAAATTGGTGATGGATGAGAAGATATTTGTGTTAAGGATACTATTTGTGTAATTTAGTTGATACTTTATGAAAATAAAATAATTTTTATGGAAATATTTTTCATACGAGATTGTAGGATCATGGGATCGTGTTTGTGATAATTAATTTAGTATGAGGGAGGGTAATAGATCCTCAAATTATATATTAATGATTTTTCTAGTTGTTTCTCTGCAAGGTCCATAACTCCAACAATTATGTCAAAGTCACTTTATGTGATTGGAATTCGATTCTTAGACTGTAGATGTTTGACGTAAAACAAAGCGAGTTTTGTCGGTGATTCATTATTTATCCACGCAAAAAAATTCAAATAGAAACAGGACGACATATCTAATCAATTCTCAAAAAATACTTGGAATGACTATATGTAGATTTTCATAATACCATATTTCAGTAAGAACAATCCAATCCTCATAGCAGAATTCTCAAGTGGTTGATCTTGTACTTCAATAATCACGTGACTGAAATTAAAAAAATACCTCCTTAATTTTTCCATATCATTATTATAAATATATCTTTTCTTAATGTCTTCAAATCAGGGTTCCTCTTCTTCTTCAAGTAAGCAAAATAATAATAATGATAATAAAGGCGAGAGTAGTAAACAAGAACAACAGTTGAAAACACAGAATGGATCGTCAATAACACAACTTGGTGCTTTAGAAGATGACGAATTTGAAGAATTCAATGCTGAAGGTAGTTGATAAATATCATTTATACAACATTCTTAACAATTTGTAAATTAAGTAACATATTTTTTATTTAATAGATTGGAATGAAACAGAAGAAGATCAAGAAACTCATTTATGGGAGGATAATTGGGATGATGAGGATATCGAAGATGATTTTTCCAAACAATTAAAGTTAATATTTGATTATATTAATTTTAAGATTATGTTTATTAAATTATTAATCTTTTGTTGTTTTTTTAAAGAGCTGAAATCACCAAAGCTACTATTATGCCACAGCCAATGAGACATTAATTAAGAACGAAATTATTTCAAGTAAAATGATTTATTAATTATAATAACAATAAACAACAATAAAAAAATTTTTTGAATAAAATAATAATAATTTGTTATTTATTTTCTTGCACTAGATTTGGATACAATGATAACTTAATTGTGCTATTTTAAAGAGAAAACAATAAATCAAAAAAAACTATTTTTACAATACTATCTATTTTTGAGGTTTGCATTTTATTTATTAATCAACTTATATCATGTGTTAAAAGTTATCAGCCTGGTTTTAAAGCTCGTAACAGTTATTGAATATTATTATGAAAAACAAATGTTACTTAATATGCAAAAATGAATTGTGATAATAAATTTTCTGTCTGTGATCTGCAGTGAGTACTTGTTTATTGTCATATAAAGATCCTGATAAAAAAAAGAAAGTTGGTAAACAGTTAAATAAAGTTTTTATCTAGTATATGAAATTAATCCAGAAGCGAATGGCAATGAAGTGTCTAGTTGAAGCTTTTGACTACAATAGATGTTAAATTATGTTAAATTTCAAAATGCTTTACATGATTTTCTTATCAAGTATTGGTCTATTCCTGCTTCTCATGGTTTGCTAACATCGTTGATAGAGAGAGATCTTAGGTTTAAGAATTACGTTTTGCAGAAGGAATAAAAACAATCCAATCTTTAAGAACTCAATATGAGTTGATGGTATCCTATTATAATGGTGATTTTTTTAAAAAAAACACCAAGTACAACTCCTATGTAGACAACCTACAATAAGGTGCCTCGGGTATTGTATGAGCTCCAATGTCGTGAGGCTCTTGTTGCAAATATTAGCGGAAATGATATGTGACCAGGTCAATATTCGCCTTGCAGTTTAATTTGGATGTTTCTAAAAACCACTATTTTGATCGTGTCTTGTGATTAACTCTGGGTGCAAAACCATATGGTGGTTTTTATATAGCCGTTTGCGAATTTTTGATGGATCCAGAGCATGTATCGACAGAACTTAATTTCAAGGGATACATGAGTAGAGCTCGTCAAGATAAATTTATGGCGAGATAACAGTCATATTTTTTTAATTCAGATATTTCACTTAATTTAATATCTTAGCAATATTTTGATTTATAATTTTCAATCATCGTTGTTTCTTCAATACCAGAAGAGGCATCAAGAACCCGTTTACTTTTTATTAACTGCTACTAAACAAAGTTTTTAAAAAGAAGCTACATACTCATTTTTAGAAAAAGACAAAAGCTGAAGATGAAAAAGGTTAATAACTCTTCCATATGCCATCCATCTGGTGAAAGGGGAAATATGGTTTAAACCATAAGTGTTGGTTTGGTTGAATCAACGGCCCAAAAGCTGGTCTTTTAAAGAGTCGTCTCGTTGCCTTGGGCACAGTCTTTTTTACACAGTTTATGAGTTCCCATCCCAGAAATTAAATCTTTTTTACATTTGAGGAAGAAATTAATTGTAAATCAATAATAATATGTTTCAGGAAGCGGACTATTTATATTAATGTGAATTAAATATAGATCAAAAAAATTCAAAAGTAATCTCCATCAAAGATCCATCATCCATCCAACAATCATTTTCACGCGGATTACAAGATAATCATTCTCTCTCTTCATTGTTATATACAAAATTTATAAATCGTAAGAACGTATTAAAATTTAAAGCTTTGTTAGAAAAAACATTTAATTCAAAAACATTACTGTGCCGTTTTATATATTAAGTATTTGTGGATTAATATCAAGATCACAAGAAGCATACTATCGATCAAAGGACAATGCATTTAATAGAGTATTTGCAAAGAACGGATGGTTTTGGACCACAGTAGTATATAGGCAATGAATAAAAATAAAAGACAAGGACAGAAACTAGTTTTTTCTATACTTCGTTATATTGCAGCAGGTATATAACAACGCAAAAAATTTCTTTGGACCAAGTATATTGATGATATATATTCACAATGAGTGGAGACAATTATAGATTTAGCTAGAACACAGAAAGTATGGAAAAACAATTAGCACTAATAGTTCATATCAATGTAAAAGTTGAGGAGAGAGAGAATCTGTCAGAAGAAATATGCGGATCATTCAATAAGAATTTAAAAGATTCTCTTTGGTTTTTTATCAATAAGTTATTTTTCACGGTAAAATATTAAAGAAAGTTCTACTGGAATATTATATTAATTTCTAACTTATTTTTTATTGCTACAAATTACAAAAGCTTTTTTAGCAATTGTGAAAGTGATAAGGAAGGAATTTAGAGAAGAGAAATATTTATTGTTGTACCTTATATCTAGTAATCAAAGTTGTAATTCTGTTTAAAGAAAGAATAAGTGTGCTAATTTATAATTATCACCATTACTTTTATCATTATCACTAGTTAGTCTTTTAAAAAAATTTTCCTGTAAAAAAAAATAGTTTTTATTCTAAAATTTATATTTATATAGTTTTAATATTATATATGGTTAAAATTGTTTAACTTTGATGATTATCTTGGATAAAATTTTCTGGTACTAAAGAAAGAAAATTAATTATTATTCTCTGAATTTTGTAATGAATCATAAAATATGTAAAATTACCATTAAAAAATTGTTGTTTCTGACCATAATCATCTGTTGATTCATCTTTATCTTTTGTAGTTGAAGATCTTTCAATTTTTGTTGTCTTCATCAATCAAAATAATATGTATATATATTAGTGCATAAAATATAATCTCAATAGTTCTATTATAATAATATATATATATTAAAACTAACTTCTCTATATTTTGCTAAATAAATCTTCAAAGCCTCTGCATAATTTTCGAAACCTAGAGATTGCATAGCCCACAAAATATCTTCTCCATTAATTGTCTTTCTTTTTTCTTGTTGACAACGATCACTTGCTGTTTAAAAAGAAATTTTCTAAATTAATGTAAGTCTAATATTCGTAGCTATGTGATTTATGTGTATATACGCACACATGAATATATAAATTTTCATTCCTGAAATATCTTTTTTGATAAATAAAAGGATATTCACTCGTTATGAAGGAAATGAATTCTGAAACACACTCTTGAACACATTCTTTGGCTTCTTTTGCAATCTTTGCATTGTCTGGTAAAGCTTTTTTCATTATACGTGCTACATTTGCTATTGGAAGAAAACGATCTTGTTCTTTAAAATCTTCAATTTCTTCACCCGATAAATGAGTATTTTCAGACATTTTTTTTTACTTTCAAGATGTTATGGTAAAAGCGTAATCAAGATTCTAAATAAAGGAAAAAAAAGAACGACTGCAAAGAACTTTAAAAATACGCGCGATTTTTAAAATTTATTATTATTGAGATTTTTAGTTGATTCTAACAAATTTGTTACGCTAAATCGGACTGTGACGAGAAGAAAACCTTATTGCTGCTGCGCCAGCTAGATTTTCCAGCCACAATCACGTACACAATTTAAATCCCCCCACCTCCTGAAAACTAGGTCATGTGCAAAAATATGTTCCTTAACATCACGATTCCAGAGGGTCTGGCACATATATGTGTCTACATGTCTTGAGCATCTAAAACCGTTGAATTTTATTAAATAACCCTTCACATTTGGAACATATTCTGCTAGTCCTAACTAAATTCATCGATAATTTTTACTTACATCTTCCCCTTAACTCCCGCATAGCTACTTTACTGGACCAGCAAGCATATCCTTTAGGATAATGAAGCGTGGCTGTGATTATAAAACGAAAAAATAAATTGACTTACTAAATCACATAAATTAGTATCATAAAAATAGGCAATATTTATTCAATAGTTTCTCTATTATTGGTAATCCTTCTATATACACATTTTATCCATCACTCTTTGTTTGCCAATATAGTTTGATCATCTTAACCTTTTCCAACGTTTTTCCTTATAAGAGTCAAATAAATTATCCATATGAAAGGTGTTTCAGAAAGATACTACACTTGGAAACCACGAATTGAAGAAACAGAGGTGTTGGTAAACCTGAAATGTAATATCACATATAACATTTAATTAATTATTAATTTAAAAAAAAAAAAAATCAAAAATGACTACCTCTGACAATGGCTTGTATGTATTTATTTTATTCATCCAGACTTCTCTTTTTTCTCTTGCCTTCTTAAACCCAGCCATCTCGTAATATTCTCTTGCATTTACTTTATTGATCTACAGCAACAAATAAATCCCTTCCAAATCTAATTTTCATACTCATCGTCATCATCCCTTCACCGATTTTTTTTGGCCTTTGTATGTGGACAGAAGCACACACACCATCAATTTGTATATAATATGTAAATGTTCTATTTCTAGTATGTTTATGTTTCTTTGTTGGAATGAATGTGGTATGAGAATTTTTTGATATGTTAAATAAAGAGGGAGATATTCCCCCCTACTTCTTCGTTTCCTAGTGACAAGGTTCTCAAGGGATTTCTTGCTTTTTGCAATATATAAATAAATCTAGCAGAAGCAATGTCAAAAAGTGAAAGATCTTTGATATTAAAAAAGAATGATGGAAGTGAAAACCCTGAACCGCTGTAAAGGATTCTATAAAAGTGGTTTGCTGACGTTGCAAGATTTTTCTTTGAAAATGGTATTCAAGTCAATTCCATTTGTTGATTCTGCTTTTAATATTTGTTGTGACATGATTGTTGCAATTTGTCAGCTGTTGATGTGATAGGTTGAGCAAGTATTGGATTTAATGACAGAATTATTTATTAGAAATTTATTCATGAAAATAACTAAATAGATGAATGATACATGGATAATAAGGATACCGGTTGCAACGTTTTGATGATGCCTTTGCGACCACTTTGTTTCCTTTTTTGGATTGCGGGAACATTAATGGATAACAAACCTTGAATCTATCCATTCATTCCTTTCCGCTGAACGACAAGGAATACACAGAAAGTCACGGCAAAAATTTTTAAATCAGCAGTAACACATGGTATATTTAATTGCCTTTTGTTTATGGCTGTGATAGCATTAAAAACACAACGAAAAAATGTTTGGTTGAGAGCAGGATAGGAATGGACTGGTTTGTGTTTATAAGATAAAGGGTTACTAGATTTGCAAGTAGAGCACTCGTAAGTTGTTTTTGTGAATATGTAAAACATTTTCATTAATAGGCTTAAGTAGGCCTACTTTACTGTAGATGGTGTATATTTAATATCAGGTGATCTATTTTGAAGTTTTAATAAATTTTTTTTTTATTTTTTTTGAATATGATGGGTTTTCAGTGCCAGGGTTAGGACATAATAACGTTATAATCTTCATCTATATTGCAACTTCCTTGTTCACTTTTTTGAAAAAGGATGGTCGTTTTGTCAATCATGTATTCAAAGCTCCCTTTCCACCAAATTAAATCAACTTATGTCCATGCTAATGAATTATCAAATATTTCAGCGTGTGCTTTAAATTGACGTTAAATCTTTACCAAGTAATAGTGTAATAAAATTTGATAATGACATCATACCATTTTTAGATACTTTATGGTTGGAAATCCCAACATTATATAATTATAATAGTTCTTTCAAAATTTATTGTAAAAGCAAAAATAATTATTTATAATAATAATTTACTCCAATTTTTAAGACGTTTAAGAAAATATAATTCCATTTTTTTAATGGCCGTGGTTCTACTTGGAGAGTTCCTTTCAATATAATGAATATTCATTAGGAAGCTTTGGTTATCTTTCCCAAAAAGGTAATAAAATTTACTTTTTAGGTAAGATAATCACGTTTCAATAAGCAGCACATAACTCCATTTTGTTACACGGTTCAATTTTTAATCGGTTGATATCTTTGAAAAGTTGTTTTCGTTTATATTATTTCATATTTTAGAAGTTTATCGTTCTACATTGTATAATAATTATATAAATAAATAGAATCTAGTTATTTTTTTCCTATTAATTATTTACGAAAATAACAACTTGATACATAAATCATACATACATCATTTATGAATAATAAAGAGAAAACTGGAAATTACAGAGTAATATGCGCCAAATATTCAGATGGTGATTCGTCTAAATGGCCTGTTACTCACTTAAAACA